CCGGCGGAGAGAGTTTCCCCCTTACACCCCGGAATCGTGATTCAGCATTTCTAGTGTGAGAAGCGTGAGGGGAACCGAGAGCACCCGGCTTTGGTGGTGGGGGGCGTCCTCCTGTCCGGAGGGAAATCCGGGGGCCGGGGTGCAGTTCTGTCTCAGCCCGGTCCCTCTTGTTGGGCTCAGCCTTTACCTGGGCAGTGCTGCGCAGCACGGAACTGGCCAAGTGATTGATACGGGCTCGGGATTATCGGCTGCGTTTCTGTTCTTTGGAACGGGGGTGTAGGAGCTCGGGGTTATGGTGATCCTTATTGGAGAAGGGGTCGGCCGTCCTTCTGGCCCGTTCCTTGACAAGTGGCTCTTGATTTAGAAGAGGAAACCATGGCAGTTGGCAAAGATCCGTGGGACTTTGACTTAATTCTTCCCCTTAAAGTTTAACCATGTTTGAAAGAGGGTGAGAAAATGACACATTCAACTCTGAAGAGAATATAGACCTTTGTCCTCTGGAAGAGTTCTACAGGTTTCTAACTTCCAGTTTTCTAAATGGTTCTTAATGTGCCCTTCGCATAAATATAAATGTTGTCTATCTAGATGGACCTAAATTTTCATTGATCACATGAGGACTGTGGGTGAAAGCCTGGGAGTTCACCACGTGAAGTATGCTAGACTCACCACAGTCCCCGGGTGCACTGGTCCCAGAGCATTAAGGTCATTATAGAGGTGACTGGACAGAGGAGAGAGGGATGGAGAGAGGAAGGAGGTAAAGTCAACAGTGAAGTGGGAAAATAGCAGGGGATTGGTAAGCGGGGAGGCGCGAGGGAGCTCTTCATTTGCAGTAATCCATGCTTGTGCAAAGCACCTTGACTCTGAAAGGCCTGGCTCTTTTGATATTACTTGCTGTGAAAGAGAAACTTTATCTTTTCCTCAGAAGATTGAGTTGCAAATCTAGGGAGCAATGCAGCCCTCCTTGGAAAGGCCCCTGTGGTCTGTAGTTCTTCTGTGTTTGCCTGCACTGACTTGCTTAGGATCAGACAGCATGTATGCCCTGTCACCCTAGGGAAACCGTGCCTTCTCGTGCGGTGGCCGAGGGCTGGGGGACAGGGGTGGGTTCAGACCCGCCTGGCCTTAAGAATGTGTGAGGAAGGATGAAATCTCATCTATTACCTGCCCAGTGTGCACTCCTTTCCATAGATGTGTCTTCGTGATTTTATTTGAAGCAGTTGAAAAGAATTCAAGTGGCCCTTCAAACTTATGCAGTCTGTTTGAGCTGGGTCTTAAATAAGGCTTATATGAGCAAAAACCTTTGAAACTTCAAACTCTTTGCAGAACCCCTCTTGTGAGAATTGCACGTTCCTGTGCAGTTGAGAATGATAATATAGAAACCTTATCCACTTTCCACTAGTGGTAACATTTCACATAGCTGCAGTATAATATTAAGACCAGGAAACTGATACTGATACAGACTGCTCGTGTTTTTATTCGGATCTCATTGGTTTTTCACATACACTTTTTATGATCTCGGTAAGTATGTGCTCACTTCTATTGCACGTAGATTTCTGTGACTACCTCATAGTCAAAAGATGGAACAGTTCCCTCTCAAGGGTACCTCCTGCTTCCCTAAGACAGCATCCGTATTTCCCATCCATCATTGCCTATCCATGAACCTTCACCCTAATCTATAACAACACAAATGCTCTGTCTCTATAATGTTGTCTTTTTTCCTTTTTTTTTTTTGGTACCAAGGATCAAACTCAGGTCCTTGCGCTTGTGAGGCAGGTGGTGGAACCACTGAGCTAAATCCCTGGCCCTATAATGTTGTCTTTTTAATGATGTATACGTGAAACCATGTAGTGTGTACTGTATTGATACTGGCTTTTTTTCATTTGGCATGTATCTGGAGTTTAATTCAAATTGTTCATGTGTGAATAGTTTGTTCCTTTTTATTGCTGAGTAGTATTCCATTGTTTGCGTGTGTATGTGTGTGTGTGTGTGTGTGTGCGGGCGTGTGCATGTGTGTGCGCACACACACACTTACCATATATCACACTTTGCTTAAACAGTCACTGTGATAAGTATATCTGCATTGCTTCCTGTGTATGGTTATTAAATAAACCTGCTATAAACATTCATTTGCTTGTACATGTTTATTTCTTTAGGGAAAATGCCTAGAAGTAGTTGCTGGACCATATAGTGGCTGCATGTTTATGCAACTGCAAAACTGTTTTTCAGAAGTTCCTACCAGCAGTGTAGGACTAATCCAGTTTCTGTGCTTTTTTGTCAGCACTTGATATCATTCCTGGTTTTTCTTTTTTTGGCTGAGGATTATGAACCCAGGACCTTATGCTGTGCTACCTTCCCACCCCTTTTTATTTTCTTTATTTTTGATACAGATTCTCTATTGCTCAAGCTGGCTTTAGACTCGTGGTCCTCCTTTTAGTATCGGGATTCCATGAATGTGCTGCCACAGCTGCTGTTGCTGTCCGATAGCCATGCTGACGGTTGTGTGGTAGAATCACATTACACGTAGATATTTCCCTAGTGGCTGATGATGTTAAACATATTTTTGTGTGTTGATTTGTGCTCCTAGAGTCTCTGTTAAATGTGACTTTGTGTCATTTGTCTATTTTCTAAGTGGATTTTTAAATAATGTTGAGTTTTGAAGATCTTTATTCAGTCTAAGCACATGTCCTTTGTCAAGTATGTGGTTGGCAAATAACTTTTTTCCATTCCGTAGCTTATAATTTTGTCCTCCTGCCAGGGGTCTTTCCCAGTGTGAAAGCCAAACTTTATTTCCTTTGTTAAAAGTAAGTTCATCACCTCTGACTCAGGGATGTATGTCACAAATACTGAGAGCTAGAATGTCCCTTAGGAATAAACATAATGGATAGAATAATGCTTTTGCTGAGCAGTGCTGGTGCCTGCTCATGGAGTAAAGACGCTAATCACAGTCGTTCTCACATAGGAAATGAGACAAAGTTGGAAAGAGGAAATGGGTTATCAGAGCATCTACTTTTACCAGTTTTGGGGACAGGCTACTGAAAGATGAAAACAGTTTACCAGAATGTGATGGATTTGTGTTACTTCATGTGGCTAAGTTAGAATTATGTTTCCTGGAAATCTCTTCCCAGGATTACCCTACCTTTGGGCTGGCCACAGAGGCATTTTCTCAGATTTGGAGGGTGGAAGTGAAGTAAGTGGCCATGATCATACACGTGGGTCAGTGTAGACCATAGATTGTTACAGAAGGCCTGGCTACCTTGCAGGTGGTACACAGTGGCTCCTCCACCTTCTCCAGGGCCCTGCTTTCAGCCACCTGCAGTGCTGGAACAGGTGTGTCAGGCTCTGAAGGAGCAGAGAACCAGAGGTTTTGCAAGCCATTCTCGTTGGAGCTTCAGAGGCAGCTAGAAAGCAGTGCATGCTCCCTACCCATCCAGCTCATTCTCACTTTGCTCCCTCCTGGCTGGAGTGGCTGCCCTGCTGGCCCGAGTCTTCTGTTACAGACACAAGCAGACTTAATAGGAGTTCTAACCGGCTCCCACCATTGTGAAAAATCAGTGCTGTACAGCAAATCCTTTTCTTCTGGATCATTCCTGGTGATTATGTTTTGCTGGCCAAGCCCTGATAAAAATGAAGTGTTCTTTCAAGTACATTTAGATTTCTGATGAATTTCTATTTCTAATCAAACTTCACATTCATTCTTTTCGTAAGAGTGTATCCAAGGGCATGCAGGAATATTTTTAGATCATAATAGAGCAGAGCAGAATCAAAACATTTATGAAAACTTAGTCTGTGGCAGTAACCTTTTTTTACTTTGCTGCTTCATTCCTGGATGGCCATGACCTGTTTGCCGCTCTGAATTTAGGAAGAAAGCATCAAGCTACGCTGGAGACGCTGAATTCACACACATCAGACCCTTTGATCCCTTGAACTGTCCCCTTTTCAGGTGGTTCTGACTGATTTAAAGGGTACTTAGGTTTTTAATTTTAACCTCCTTCCCTTCCTGTTGGGAAGAAGCTCTTGCAGAATTGTTAGCAGTGTGTTGCCATGCAGTAAGTCAGTGAGGTCAGCTTCATGAGGAAGAGGAGTTTTTTATTTTAAAAACAAGGAAACTAAGGTAAGTTAAAGGACCTTAAACTTGTGATTCTCCTTCCACGGTTAGGCTATTAGATCACAGTTTGCTACAAAGTTTTATTGAAAGCTTCTGATGGTAGATAAACCGTAAGAGAGAAGTGGGTGGTTTAAAATGTCATAGCTAAAAAATAGAATATCTTAATATGTGCAGCTGTAAGAATTTGCAGTGTTTTACTGTTTGACTTTGAGTTTCTTTGCTGTAGTTTGCATTTTTAGTCATGAGCGATACACCAAATGAAAATAAGCACTAGCCCCCATCCCCACACCCAAGTAAAGTACAGGTTGCTTTTGGTTGTTCCTTTTGATTTGGCTTCTGTGGGTTTTACTTTGCTACAGTGTGCGCTGCTCCAAGGCTGGAGGGTTTGTTAAGACTGTCTGTCATATGAGACCTGGGAAGATGGTCTGGGTGCTTTACCAGGTTGTCTGACATACTCAGTGATGGAAACAGCCAAGGTAAGCAGAGTTGGAGGCAGTCAAGGTTTTATACAGAAGAGCCAGGCATGGTGGCACATGCCTGTAATCCCAGCATTTGGGAGTCTGAGTCAGGAGGATCGCCACAAGTTCAAGGCCAGCCTGAGCTGCATAGTGTGTTCAAGGCCAGCCTGAAATACATATGAGACCCTGTCTTTAAAACAAAAAAAGATTTCATGGAGAAGAATCAAAACCAAAAAGCTTTTGAGAATTTTATTCCACATTCAGATTAATTTAGAGACCATGGAGGAGGAGATTGTGGTCATTGCCTGGGAAGATGTGCTGTGATTCAAGATAAACTCAGACTTGCTGTCTAGTAGGAGGGATGGAGAATGAGAGGTATGTGCTTTTGGATCATTGGGGTTTTGTGAATGAGCCCCTGAATGAAGGGTTGGAAATTGCCTTCTGAAGGGGTCTTTTTGTTGTTGTTTGATCAACAGTTGTCTTTTCTGTCTTCTTTTGAAGTTACATTCATATTTTTCCAGACTTTATGCAATCATTCCACTATAAAAGGGGGACAGGGAATGCTTGATCATGCCAAAGTAAGGTTAGTACTCTGTTTCCTGATGGTGAAGTAGGATTCAGTTCCGCAGGGCACTCTGACCTGATCTCTGGGCCGTCAGTCTCCACCCAGCCTTCTGGAGTCCTTGTTCCTGTACAGGCCCAACCTTGCTTCTGGGGGTCTTGGTACTGGGGTTTCTTCCTCCCCAGTGCGTGAACAACTTGCTCCCTCTTCACCTTTGGTTCTGCCTCGCTGTCACCCTAGCCTGGAGCCCTTCCCTGGCCACCATTTCTAAAGGACTAAA